CTTCTCCTCTGCATGCCCCCTTGCCCTCTCCTCCTGAGTCCTCTCTTCCTGCGCTTGCCGACCCTGAGTCGGACTCTCTTCGTGCTGCCAGTCCTACTCGTCACGCGTCTCCTTGCTACTGTCGTCACTGACCCCTCCTTTGAGTCCACTGCTGCGTCTGCTCTTGTTGCTGAGCTCGTCGACTTTGCTGCTCGCTATCGTCTAGACTACGCTGCTAGTCTTGTTGCTGAGTCTGCGTCTGTCTGTCCTCCGTCCGTCGGGGGTGAGTGTGCTCTTGGCACGGACGTCCTTGAGGACAGGCAGGAGGAGTTCCAGTGTCTGGCTGCTGCTTCACCTCATCTCGCGTCCGTACTGCTTACCCCTGAGGGAGACCCGGATGCACTAGACATCCCGGCTCCGCGCTCTTACGCGGAGGCCGTAGAGGGTCCCTACTCCTCTCAGTGGCAGGCAGCTATGGATGCAGAGATGGCTTCCTGGAAGTCCACAGGCACCTACGTTGACGCGGTTCCCCCTCCTGGGGCGAACATCGTCAGTGGCATGTGGATCTTCAGGGTGAAGCGGCCGCCGGGCTCTCCACCTGTCTTCAAGGCGCGGTACGTGGCTCGTGGCTTCAGTCAGCGGCAGGGAGTTGACTACTTTCAGACCTTCTCTCCCACCCCGGAGATGACCACTCTTCGGGTGCTGCTACACATAGCCGCTCAGCGTGACTACGAGCTTCACTCCCTTGACTTCAGCACTGCTTTCCTGCAGGGTAGCCTGCACGAGGAGATCTGGTTGCGCCGTCCACCTGGCTTCACTCGGACTTTCCCTCCTGGCACCCAGTGGAGTCTCCGACGGCCAGTCTACGGTCTCCGCCAGGCACCGCGCGAGTGGCACGACACACTGAGGACTACACTTGCGGCTCTTGGGTTTGCTCTCTCTACTGCTGACCCGTCGCTGTTTCTACGCACCGACACCTCTCTGCCGCCGTTCTACATCCTCGTGTACGTCGACGACTTGGTCTTTGCCACAGCTGACACTGCTGGACTCGCCCACGTGAAGTCCGAACTGCAGAAGAGACACACGTGCACAGACCTAGGTGAACTGCGCAGCTACCTTGGCTTGCAGATCACCCGGGACAGAGCACGCCGCACCATTACCCTGACTTAGTCACACATGGTGCAGCAGGTCCTTCAGCGCTTCGGCTTCACGTACTCCTCGCCTCAGGCCACTCCTCTGTCTACTCGCCACTCGCTCTCAGCTCTGCCTTCGGATGAGTCCGTAGAGTCGAGTGGCCCGTACCCAGAGCTTGTTGGCTGCCTCATGTACCTGATGACCTGCACACGACCTGACCTTGCATACCCTCTTAGCATTCTTGCACGCTATGTTGCTCCTGGGAGACACCGACCAGAGCACATGGCTGCAGCGAAGAGGGTGTTGCGCTACTTGTGCAGTACGTCAGGCATGGGGCTAGTGCTTGGAGGGCGGAGTCCAGTGGTCCTCACTGGGCACGCGGACACTTCTTGGGCTGACGACCAGGCTACGCAGCGGTCGTCACAGGGTTACACCTTCAGCCTTGGTTCCGGCTCTGTCTCGTGGCGGGCTACTCGCTCGTCTTCTGTTCTCGGCTGCAGTTGTGAGGCTGAGATCTACGCCGGGGCCATGGCTGCACAGGAGCTTCGCTGGCTTACCTACCTGCTGACTGACCTCGGAGAGCCGCCTCGTTCTCCTCCGGTGCTGTACGTAGACAACAAGGCCATGCTAGCCTTGTGTCGGGAGCAGCGCCTGGAGCACAGAACGAAGCACATTGCTCTCCGCTACTTTCTTCCTCGTGAGTTGCAGCAGCGTGGTCAGTTGCGACTTGCGTACGTGGCCTCTGAGGCCAACACTGCTGATGTTTTCACCAAGGCACTTCCGCCTTGTGATCATCAGCGCTTCTGCACTCAGCTGGGTCTTGTGCCTGTCTTGCCTCACTTGCTCACCCCTTGACCTTACTTGTACTCTTACATATATATATATACCTGCTCTTGCTTGTTTAGCCTTATATATATATGTGTACTCCTGCATGTGAACTGGCCTTGTGGCCTTGACCTTGTGCTCGGACTGTGTGGTGACGTTGTGATCCACCCTTAGCTTTGTCTGCTTTGCTTGACTGGTCTTGTGACCCCTTGTTCTCCCCCACTTTGCCTATGGGGGTGTGTCAAATTATAATATTGTGTAGGCTATAGTGGGGTAGCCCATATGGGGTACACATTTTCTAGGGTTGCATATTTGTATCACTTCCATTCCTTAGTTCTTCATTCTCGTTCTAAGTTTCTCACTATAGCCTATAGTAGCTATGTCATATATATCTGACAGAATTGCCTTCTACCGAATTCGGTAAGGATCTGTTCGGGACGCTACGCGGCCCGCGGAACCTTCGCGTAACACTTGGTTACGGGGCCTTGTGTCGAGCCTATATATAGCATCGTGTTGTACCCAGGTGATTCATTGAATTCATTCAATTATAATTCTCTTTTGTGAGCTCGATCCTAGATCCTCACAGAGGAATCAACAAAGAGTCTTTATTTATTGCACGTAATTTTGTTACTAGTGGCATGTACCGGCTCGCATTTTCGCTCGCGTGTCGTTTAGCGAGCCGACTCTACCGGGAACTCTAGGGCAGCAAAAAAAAACTAGAACTCATTGGGAACCTGGATGCAATTTCGGGATGGATAAACCCTGAATAATGGACCTTCCTGGTATTTAGGGTTGATCCCCCCCCCCGAGTCGCATCCGTTTCCGAATGGGTAATATTTTATTTTTTCTGTGGTTTCCGATTGGGTAGGTGGTATGCATCACCCAGAATATATTATGTTGTTACGTAATCACGATTTGACACGCCGAATTCAATTCCAAAAGAAGGCGACGCGCGCGCTGTAGTAGTCGGCGGTCAAAACCCTCAATAAATAATAAGAACTCAAAATTAGGTTTCTTTTAGCAATTATCTTTTACTTATGGTTCGGCTTGTTTGCCGAGTCGTTTGGTCAGCTCCGGGCTGAAATCCTACGGTCGAGATTTTCCGGCCCTACTTTGATCACCCTTCTGGCACTGTTCGGCCCCAATATGATATTCTCCCAGTAGAAAGAGGCACTTCCTGAAGATCCCAGCGGAATCAGGTCGACGGACCCGAGTTGCCAGGGTCGACGAGGGGGGTCGACGGACAGGGGTCTGACGAGGCGGGCGAGTGACGCGCGTGCGGGCCCGCCAGCCTGGCCCTGGGCTGGGCCGGGCGCACGACCGCCGCCCCGCAACCCCCCCCCCCCCCCCCGAGAGTGAACAGTGACCCACGTTACCGGGTGGGGGCGGCGAGCTGGCGAGACCTCGGGCGAGGGAAAGTAACCCTGCCGCGAAGGCAGCCCACCCCTCCCTCGTGCCCGCGAGGTCCTAGTAACCCATCGCGGCATGCCCGTACGGGCAGGCGAGGTCCACGCGAAAATCGGGGGCTCCCCTCGGGTCGCTCGACTATTTCGCGACCCGTTGCGGTGACGCCACGTGCTCGCCCGTCATTTCGCATCGCATGCATGAGACATTTCGTACCCCCCGAAACTCGAGCGAAAACTGAGTCGTTCGCCACGGGGCGCACGACTTTCGCGACCCTCGGCGAAATCGACACGTGGTGCCGAAACGTCGCACCGCGCCCACGCGAAGTTGCGTCCCCTGGCCGACCGAGGCCGGGGGACGTGACGTCGACCTGTTGGCTTGGCGGCGAGGGTGCACTTGTGCCACGCAACTTGTGCACGAGCCCTGCCGAGCCAGGCATCACGGCCCCCTGGGCGACGCTCAACCGGGCCTGCGTGGCTCCGCCTGGCTTTTCTTCGTTGGAGGTGGACTGGCCCCTCATTTTCGCGTTCTCGTTTCTCTTTCATTTTTCCTCCCACCTCGGCGCCTTCCATACTCCCACCGTTTCTTCCCTTAGCATCCTCGCTCTCCCGCCATGGCAGCCGGCCAGAAAGCCGCCGAAGCGGCGCCGACCTCGCTAGATTTCCCCCTGCATCTAGACATCGGTAGAGGACACACGGCCAAGTTCGAAGAGCACGACTACGCCGTTCTGACAAACCCTATGCTAGAGTTTAACGCCCGTTGCTTGGGACTCGGTCTCAAGTGAGTGTCTTATGGAGATGTCGTCGTCGACGGGCCTATTCCATGCTGGTCGGCCATGGCGGGGTTTCAATGCGTCCAGTAGTATATGTCGACGGGCTTAGAGTTCAAGCACATCACATCGGTGATGCCGACGTAATGCGTTAGGTCGTCGACGACGCTGAGTTGTGCCGAAGTCGTTCGGCTCCCGTCATTCCACCGTCGTGTCGCGCACCTATACCTCTCTAATTTGTTGTAATCATGCATGCGTGCAGGCACGCATGGATCCGCTCAACGGATGCAGGCGAGCGATTGTGGTCGATAGGAGTCGGCCGGCTTCGGGCTGCGATGGGTCAGGACGACCACACATGCTTTGCGACGATTTTCGACGCCGACGTGGCGGTTATCCCACTGATATCGAGGTGAGCAGGTTCGAGGTCCTGCTGTGTGCTGCAACCTGTGTCGGTGATTTGTTCTGAGCGCCATCGACGTGCCTTGTCTGTGCAGCATCGCACCGCTTCCGGGAGCACATTGCAGCGTCGTTCTCATCCAGTGCCCCGGCGATTTGTTCAATGCCTCGGGGCAGGAGGTCAGGACCTCGATCCGGCACGCCGACCCGCAGACAGTGAAGGAGTGGCACCGCGACGAGGCGATCCGCGTGCTGAAGTGAGCTCGATAGTTTAGTCGACATCGCATACATTGTCGACACGGCGCGTGCACCGTGCTAACCGACCGTCCTTGCCGTGCTTTTGCAGGTTTTTCCGGACCGCTGTTCTGGCCGAGCTGCGGCGCGAGGGTAGGAAATGGGAGTGGGCGAAGCCGTCCGAAGACGAGGTGCAGGAGAGGCTCGCCGACTGCGACGAACCCCTTCGAGATGTGAGTTCCGGACGATTCGCCGTCATATGGTGTCACATCTACGCCGCCCTCATCCTTGCTCTCTGCACTGTTGTATGCAGAAAATTCCCGATACCGTCCGGGACTCGGACGCGGGCTCCGGCCTGCTAGCAATGAGCGCGTTGATCTGGGTTGTGAGGCGGTTCCAGCGCCTGACCGGCGACCTCCGTCGCATTGCCACCAGCATGGACAAGCCCACCGTCTCGGGGTTGAAGGCGCTGCGGAACGAGATGGTAGCCCTCATCAAGAAGCAAGTCCCGCTCATACGGTCGGGGAAAACCGTTGTTGCTGCCGACGCCTGTGACGACGACGGCGAGGAAGTCCATTCTGCATCCGTACCAGTAGGGGTCGCCCCGAACGTCGCTGATGCGCGTGGCAAGTCGGGAGTCGGCGTCGACGAGGCCGATGCGGCCGCAGGAAAGGGGGTGACCGGGACTGAGGTTGTTCACGGGAATGATGATGGGGTCCAGGATCGCGAGGAGGAACGTGAGGGTGAGGGGGGCTCGGAGGAGTCGTCGGGGTCGGGGTCGCGATCGGGGTCGGGCTCGGAGTCGGAGGAGGAGCAGGAGCAGGAGACGCAGGAGCACGAGAGGCAGCACCAGGAGGAGCAGTTGGTAGAGGTGGAGGACGTGGAAATGGCGGAGGGGTACGTTGTCGGAGGAGCGGAGGAAACGGGTGGGAGATCGGCGGATGTCGAGAACGACGAAGGGGAGGGGAAGGGTGCGACAGCGAATATCGGCGAGGTCGGCGTGGAGGCGGCTCACGGAGGTGGTGGCATGGTCGAGGTCGGTGAAGGGGATAACGCCGCGGTCCCGGAGCAGAGGGGCGTGGATGTGCATACCGATGCCACCGCGGAGAAGGCCGGCGGGGAGCGGTCTAGGAGGAAGAAGGCGGCGAGCGGTCATCCCGGTTCCACCGCGGCTGGGCGGCAGGCGCGGCTGGACGTCGTCGATCAGCTGAGGGCGGAGAACAGGCGATTGCGTGCAGACAATGCACTCCTTGAACGGCGGCTCGGTGAGCAGACGGGGCGGGTCGACAGCTTGGCGGCGGCATTAGCTGGGCTCCTCGAGAAGGTGAAGGGTTTGACCGCCCAGGTCGCCGACACCGACCGGAAATCGGAGGAGCGCCTCAAAGAGGCCACGTCGACCATGGCGACCACAATCACCGAGGGCCTCACCGACAACATGGACAGCGCCATTCAATCGGCCAAGTCCTTCGCCGAGCTAGCAAGGCAGACGCTGCTGGATCTTGACGACCCCAAGGGACGAGCGGCGGTCGCACGCGCGACCGCGGTGAAGACAGTGACCGAGCACGTGACGGCGGAGGTGGGCGAGGCGAGGAAGGGGTTGGAGGAGTCGTTCATCAAATACATCGGCGCCGCGCAGACCAACATTGCCGCCGCCGTCTCGCCCCGCCTAGTCCAGCCGCCGCCGCCTACCGGCCCAAGCGCAGGCCTTGCCGGAAGATTTCCTGAAGTCTTTCAAGGAGGACGTGCTGAAGGCGGTGACGGAGACCACGCAGCAGTCCTTCCTCGCCTCCGGACTGAAGATAATGGCCGAGGTCGTCGGCACGGTGGCGTATGCTCGGCGTGGGTCGTCGCCGTCGGCAAACGACGCCGGCCAAGCGCAACCTACGAAGGGCTTGAAGCTGGGTCACAAGAGGCGGGGAGGCGGCGGGGGGGGCAACGGGGACAATTTGGCGAACACGAAGCGGAGCAAGGGAGGCGGGGGGTCTGGCGGCGGGGGGGGGGGACGGAGACGATTCGGCGGGCGCGAGGCGGACCAAGGGAGCGGCTGGTTCTCGCGTCGCCGGCGATGGGAGCATGGGAGCCGGCGACGGCAGTTCGTTGAAGCAGTCGGGGAAGAGCGTGGTCGACATCCTCAGGAAGCACTGGGCTCAGGTTGGAGCGGCCAGCACGGGCCATGGTGGTGGGGGTCCCGCCGACGAGCATGCCACTGATGACGCACTGCCAATGGCTCCGCCTTCGGTCGGCGTTAAGCCACCACGACAGGGTAGCGGTGTGAAAGGCCTGCGCGACAAGGAGAAGGCCGCCGCCAAAACGGCCCCAGGCGGGTCCGCGAAAGCTGGCCAGGGCCCGAAGACAGGGGTTGCGGAGGCGTCAGCGGTTCCTCACTAGTCTCCCGCGGGTGCACGCCATTCGACCGGACCGTCTGCCAGGGCGACCTACCGACGTCCCGCGCCATGCCGACGTACAGTCTGCCGACAAGGCTTGGCCGCGCGGGAAAAGGGGCGGCAGTTGCGGACGCGCTCAAGGAGCAGCTCAGGCTCCTAGCCGGCCATAGGGCTGTTCAACAGGCCCCCCCTGCTGTCGACTGTCCCATCGGCCAGTGGGCCACGTGTAGTGCCGGTCGTCGCCGCCCGTACTCCTGCAGACCCAAAGTCCGCGTTGTTGCGCGCCCAGCTGGGCGCACTAGCGTCGACTGAGAGGACTCAGCAGGCTTCTGGCTCTGGCTCTAAGCCGTCGTCGGCGAATGTCGCACCACCCACCCATGTGGCAGTTGATGTGGAGAAGGCGGCGGAGAAGGGCGTTCGTGCCGCGCTTGCCACCGGCGGCGGCGCCGTTGAGGAGGTCCCCGCAGACGCTGATATCGCTGCCATACAGGCCCATCTGGATGCAGCCAATCCCCGAACCCTGGCCATCTCCGACACGGAACATGTGGAGCCTTCGGCGGGACTCGTCGGCATCGCGGCAGAGCCTAGTGCGACCGGTGATGCGGTCGGTGAAGGAAAGTCGAAACGGAAGTGGAAGGCGGGCTCACAGAGGAAGACACGGGAGAAGTCGGAGGTGAAGGCGGCGGATAAACAGAAGGGGATGGCGACGGAGACGGCGGCGGACAAAGATCGAGGCGGCATTGGGGAGGTTGAAGGGAAAGGGGAGAATCAGGAGAAGTTGCCCGGCGAGGGTACGTCGACGGGGAGGAAGGGGAAGGACAAGTCGGTCGGAGAAGGTGCGTCGACCGGGAGAAAGGGGAAGGAGAAGGCGGTCGGCGAGGGTTCCTCGAAGGGGAGAAAGGGAAAGAGGAAGGCGGAGGAGGAGGATGAGGATGTCGAGGAGGTGGAGGAGGTCGAGCAGGAGGAAGAGGAGGAGGAGGAGGAGGAGGAGGAGGAGGAGGAGGAGGAGGAGGAGGAGGAGGAGGAGGAGGAGGAGGAGGAGGAGGGGAAGGGCAAGGAGAGGAGGGGTCATGGCATCCGACACGATACCTCGGGCGACAAGCAAGGGTGGGTCGGCGAGATTAAGGTGCACGGCATCAATCGATACATCGGCAAGTCGCGGGACAAGATGGAGCTCGCGTACGTTCACTCCATCGCGTACGTCGTCTACGACGGTTTCGTGAGCAAGGTGCTCATGACCGAGCTCACCGGCTTGGACAGCGCCGAATTGGAGAGGTGGAAGGAGGTGTGGGAGGAGGTCAGGATCTTGCCGACAGGGATGTGGACGGTGATGTGGGCCCGGGGTACGCTCCTTCCAAAGACACGGTAAGTCGGTAATCCTCCGATTCAAAGTCGATGTCGTTGTCGTTGTCACTAATGTTCGCCCTGTTTGTGGTGGCGTGACAGGCTGACAGAGATCCTCGACGCGTATCGCCATTACAAGTCCACAGGCGATTGTCTCCACGCCGCGCTCCTGCCAGTGATATGGTACCCAGTCGATGCTAGCACCGAGGAAGGCCGAGAGAAGTCGGCGTTCATGATGTCGGCGATGATAGGCCGCGTGTCAATGTGCGCTGCATATGGGAAGACCGCTGCGGCAGCGGCGAAGAAGGAGGGAGACAAGGAGGAGAAGACGGATATGGCGGCATGGGCGTTAGCAGCATCCGCATGCGCTGTGTGGTGCTTCGTCGAGAACGGCGATGCCCAGCTGGCGGATGCTGTGGAAGAAGGGAAGTCGGCGGCGATCATCGGCGGAGCGAGCCAGGCGACCGCCGATGTATTCGGAAAAGTCATGGAGGCGGTGCTGAAAGCCGAGATGAACAGGGACCGCCCCCTGGGAGAGGTTGCCTACAACGTCGCGCCAGCACTCCAGAGGACCGCCCTTGATAGGGTCTATCCGGGGGGGAATGCTGGAGTAGATACCGACGTTATCGCTAGAGCGACGGTTGAGACGATGGCGTTTTGGGGAATGTGCCCCGTCGCCGGGCCGAAACTAAGAGCGAGGGACATCGCGGTGCCGATTGACGCGCAGATGAAGGCCGATCTTGACAACAGGGGGAGGAAGGGTCTGAGGGGCAAGAAGGGGACGAAGACCAAGGGCGGCACGGAGAAGGGCAAGATGTCGAAGAAGGACAGCACGACGGCCTAGTCGACGGCCTGCTAAGATTGAGTGCTGCGTGGACTCGATGATGAAATGGTCGATATCGTTTTCCTTGTTTTGGCTATCGGATCCCTTTGATGCTCTTTCTTTGTGTTTTTTTTTTTGCGTGCCTGTCTACTTTACGTAGGATGAGTAATGAACACATTAGCTAGTAATGATTGTCTACTTCAGTTTGAACGACACGTGAATGCCCCGCTAGGCCAAGAACAACAGGATCATTGTGAGAAACAAAAAGTCGACATCAGTATCAGTATGAAACATAGGCATGCTGCATAAACATCTACAACATGCAACAGGCCACAGTAGCAGGAGGCCTGGGAACATTCAAGCGGTTTTCTTGCGCTTGGTCGACTTATTGGTCGGAGGCAGCTGCCCGGCGTCGTTTTCGCGGGCCAGATCGGCCAACGTCTTCTTCATCTGCTCAACCCAGGTGTCCGGGAACAGGTCGGCGACCCACGTTTCGGGCTTTAACCCGCGCGCCACGAACGCACAGGCGACACGAAGCTTGGAAAATTCCGTCTTGCCGAGCCCTTTGACGCCCTTACCCTGCCCAGCATAGGTCGCTACGGCGTCCGCGTTGAGCACCGTGAGGGCATCCGCGAAGGTCCCAATGCCAGGCGCCGCTATCTTGTTAAGCGCGTCGACGGTGGCTTCCGTGTCAGCTTCGCCGTCGCTCCTGCGAAGCTGGCGCACCGCATCGATGACCTTCATCATGCGGCGCACCCTCTTCCCGTGTGCTCCCTGCGAGGCTCCGTCGAGGAGGGTGTGGCGGTCGACGAATCCCGGCTCCCTGAACCTGTCGCACAGACGACGGGTGTCGGCGCTGGTGCACGAGGTCCAGAGGCGCCACGCGTCCTTGACGGTCGTTGCAGTCCGCCAAGGCTGCACTACGTTCAGCTCGTAGCTAGCCTCCTCGACCGTCTGTGGGGGTTTATTGGGTTTGTTGGCTCCTCCACCCCTGCTTGCCGACTCCGCGGAGCCACCGTCGCTCGGCGACTGGTCGTTAGCAGCTGGCGGCGCCTCCGGCATCCTTCGAGCTTCTGAAACGCGGAGAGCCTCGGTGAGGCGTGTTATCTCGGCCGTGAGCGACGCGATGGTTGCGTCGTGATTCTCGATCTTCTCCTCGAGGTCGAGCTTCTGGACCGTTGACCGCTCCCTCTCAAGCTTAAGCGTCTCCGTGAGGGAGACGACCGCGAACTGGGCGTCATGGCGGACCGATATCTCCTGCAATGGTAGGCGAATAACGGTGCAGATAAGGGGTTGTAGCGGTCATAGATAACATCGTGACGTCGGCATAAAAGATGACCTACCTCTGGCTGGATGAGGGTTGGATCTTGCCGCTTTTTTATGGTGTCGGTGTCGGTCTTCTCGACCCTCTTCGCCCAGTGCTGGAAGAGGGGAATCCGGCATAGCTTGGAATACTGGATGTACGGGTGCCAAGGGGTGCGGTCGAGTTTCACCGCGAGGTCCTCGGCGACAATGCGGCGGAACATCAGAAGGGTGCGCCAGAAATGCACGGCCGCAACGTCGGCGTTGGACCCCTTCTTCGCGAGTTCTTCTGCCTGCAGTTAGACATCAGACGTGGGTTATTTCCGTGGTGGATAGGACAGTACCATGCAAGCTTGGTCGGCACCGATAAACAAACCTTGTTGAGGAGGTCGTCGACGCCGGGGAAGATGTGCTCGGCGATGAGAGCGAGGAGTTCGTCTCCCGGTTCCACCCTACTGCGACCCAAGAAGTAGTCCTGCGTGAATCCCGAATAGCCGGCCTTCTTCATCACCACGCCGACGGGAATGGATGTGATGTAGGCTCGAGTCATCTTGTCGAGAGCCCAGTGACCCAGCTCGGCTATCTCGGCGCGAGGCGTACCTTGGATGGCCAACTCCTGCGCCCCGCCCGCCCGAGCGGCATGGACGTTCCGCTTGCAGAACACCCCATTCGTCTTCCACATCTGCCTCGTCCATCGCTGGTGGCTGGGAGCTGAGAGTTCGCCCTGCTCGGGGTCGTTGCGGGCGAAGAACAGGTGCTTCTTGTACCAGAGCTCGCGTGTGCTGGTGTCGACCGGCGGAATGAGGTCGACGCCGTGAAACTGGCCGATCTGGTCGAGGATGAAGTGTAACCACAGCCCGGTCTCGCCGACGGCGCACAACTCCGCTTCTAGGTGCCGCGCCGCGTAGCTCTGTTGAAGACGCGCATCCTTCGACGTCTTCGAGTTCCGCGCGGCGACCACCATGACGACCGGCTGGTTATCCGGGTTCACCGACGAGGTGCTCGCCAGTCGGTACAGGAAGATGTCGGGGAGCGTTATCTCGCGTATGCTTGCACCGCGCATGAGGCTGTGGTGGGAGAGCAGCGTGAGCACCTTGATGAGAAGAAACCTCCACAGCGTCTGCGTAGGTGTGGTGAAATGCGGGCTCCATGCCGACGCCGCCCAAGCCGGCAACACCCTCGTCATTATCTGGCGGAACTGTTCGGCGGTGTATGTGTCGCCGATGGTGCCGCGTCGACGGTCGGCGCATTTACTGTCGACATAACAATATATGGATATGAATATTAGGGCGAGGAACACAAATCGATGGCGACATAACACGGCGATGCATGCCAACTTACTCGAGGTCCCTCTGATTTTTCGTGCGGACCATGACCCGCACCTCCGACCGGACCACCGAGATTTCCCGCATGATGCCCAACTCCTTCTCCTTGTAGAGCGTCGCCTCCACCCTCGCCGCCATCTGGCAGGCCTTGATGCGGCCGAGGATCCTGTGCACCGTGTAGGCTCGCACTGGCTCGTTCGTGTCGGCGTCGATCTTGTACTCCCGCCTCATGAACTTGATGTAGGCGCGCAGTCGCGTACTAGTGACCCGGGGGCCGTGCAGCCATATGTGCTTCCGCTTGACCACCTTCTCGTTGTCCCAATCCTTGCTCTTGTTGTTGTGTGTCCAGTGCCCTATCTCGTCGACGTGCCTCATTTGTTCTGCTGTCGGCAGTTTGTCGCCAATTTTTTTAAGCATCTTCGCCGTCCACCTTTTGTAGTCGTATATCCATGAGGTGTAGGACTTGAGCGTGCTCTTGGCCTCTATGGTTTTCAGGTGGCGCATTGCCTCCATCACGAGCACGTCGACGCACGCGTACACCATATCTTCCTCTACGAAGTCGGCCGCCTTCCACATTTCTCGAGGGACCGACGTGTGCAGCAGATCCTCAAGCTCGTTCTCGTCCAACAGTTCCTCTATGAACGCACGTTCCCCCCTGAGTTTTTCTTCCAACGTGCGCGGACCTGCACCACGTCGGGGCCGCGGGTCGTCTTCGTCGTCCTCGTCGCTCGCTGATGAATAATCGTCCTCATCCTGGTTGCCCGATCCGTCCGGCACAGACGACGGCCCGGCCTCCCCTGCATCCGTCGGCGTCGACGTTTTGCGTGGTTTCATGAACTCCCTTATTGGCGCGGGCGGAACGTCCTTGGTGAACTCTCCCTGCGGGATTTGGGCCAGGGCGTCGAGATCGTAAAGCAGCGGCAAAGTCGACGAGGGGTTACTGGTCGGTATACGGTCTACCGGGCGGACGTCCTCACCCTGGCTAGCGGGGTTCGGAACGTCCGTCATGTCGACATCGGCGGGGGGTGGGTTGGTTTGCGGCGGTGTCGAACGAGGCTGTCCTCTGGCCATGATACGGCGACCTAGGGCGATGGGAAGTCGGCGTGGTGAGGTCGATAAACTACTAAATGCGTATTCTATGTCGGCGGTATCTGGCAGGTCGGGACAGCAGACAATCCTACGAGAGGTCGGCGACCACGTCTGCCTACTATCACGACGCCGACGTTACGCCTCTAGAGAAAATCCAAGTGCCGGCCGTCAAGTCAGTGGTAAAAAAAAAAAGCAATGGCACACACAATGGCAGGCGGAATGAGCGACCATTTCGGGGACCACGGATGGGTATGGTCGTGAGCGACTCCGCTGTCAGAACATATAGCTTACTTGTTTGTGTAGGCTATATTGGGGTATCCCATAGGGGGTACAACCCAATTAGGGTTTCCTATTTGTACTCACCTCGTTCGTAGTCAATTCATTCACGTTTCTAATTTCACATGGAATCAGAGCAGGTCCCATCCTAGGGACTGTTCTCTAGGGCCCACCGAAGCGCGCCCCGAGGCGCGCGTTCTTTTTTCTCGCGACCCTCCGTGTCGCCCTTCCCCTCGCGGCCCCGCCGCCTCCTCGACGCGGCCCCGCCGCCTCCTCGACGCGGCCCCGCCGCCTCCTCGACGCGGCCCCGCCGCCTCCTCGACGCGGCCCCGCCGCCTCCTCGACGCGGCCCCCGCCTCCTCGACGCGGCCCTGCCGCCTTCTCGACGCGGCCCCGCCGCCTCCTCGACGCGGCCCCGCCGCCTCCTCGACGCGGCCCCGCCGCTTCCCTACCTGCGGCCATCCCGCCGCCCTGCCTGCGGCCGTCCGCCGCCCTGCCTGCGGCCGTCGTGCCGCCCTACCTGCGGCCTACCCGCCGCCCTACCTGCGGCCGTCCGCCGCCCTACCTGCGGCCGTCCCGTCGCCCTACCTGCGACCTACCTGCCGCCCTACCTGCGGCCGTCCCGCCGCCCTACCTGCGGCCTACCCGCCGCCCTACCTGCGGCCGTCTGCCGCCCTACCTGCGGCCGTCCCGCCGCCCTACCTGCGGCCCACCCGCCGCCCTACTGTCAGAATGAAAAACGAGAATGAGGAGTGACTAGCAGGAACAACAGTACAAATATGTCAAACCCTAATCTGGTGTACCCCTTATGGTGTGACCCACTACAGCCTAGAACCACACAAACATAGGCAAAGTGGGGGAGACCTAGGGGTCACAAGACCAGTCAAGGCAAAACAAGGCAAACAAGCTCAGGGTGGATCTCGAGGATTCCACACAAATTCCGAGCACAAGGAAGCGGTCACAAGACCAGTTCACATGCAGTTTTATAATAGAGCAAGAGGTACAATGATCACAACCTAACAAGGCAAA